ATAATTTTAATGCACATAAATTCGAACAGTTATCCACACCGTTGCATTCTGTAGTTAGTAATAAAACAATCTAGCACTGAATAACAACTAAAACTAGAGCTAACACTAGCACTAGAAGTAACACTAGACCTAGAACTAGAAACACTCGGGTTTAGCCGTCTTAAGCGATGTACGGCTAAACCCGAATGTTTCTAGTTCTAGGTCTAGTATTAGTTATATTTTTAGTTCAACAAAAATATACAAAAATTTAGCGCTGAATAACAATTAAAACTAGAACTACCAACCTTGATTTATACATCGTATAGACAACTCGGGGAATACCCTAAGTTTATCTATAAACGCGTAATACAGCAACTTGGGGAATAACCCGAGTTGGATCCTATCTATGAGCGCCAACATTTATATTTAAATATACTGATGTATTAAATAGATAATATTAATAGTATAACTTAAAAATATTTTGCCCGTTATATCTGAAGTCCATTATATCGAGGGTTTTCTGTATTTTTGTTAACACACTATTTAAAGTTTGTATATTAGTAGATATTGGAAGTTATATAAGATATTATGTAAACTTACATAAAATTAGAATGTAATTTACCAATTTCCAAGCTCGATTTGAACTACTAGATTAAATTTCAGTATCGACCGGAATAATTGTAACACGACGACGATGAAGGTCGGTGTTGTACAACGAAATTGCAGAAGTACCGATAGGGTTCGCTCTGACCTATGTAACCCGTTATTACACGAGGTAATCTGAATTGGTTAAAAAGGTCCACAAAAAAAGTACAACCGCTAGCGATAAACACAAACTAAGGATTAAAGTCTGATATTACATGAGTTACTACCATTATATATTGCATTAATTTTGCAGAGAAAATTTCTGTTTATACAAAGTATGTTCTTATGATGTATGTCCAAGTCAACTCGCTTTAACTAATTTATAATATTCGTCTGGTTTGGCGCGTGTTTGTTCATTTGCATATTGCCGCGGCAGCTATTAGGGCAGCTGCTTCTGGACAAATGTTCACCGTTGTCCGACATGTCCAAACAAGCGACCGATTCTGGTACCACGGACCAACTTCATCAAGTTTACAAACACGGCGGTCGCTCGAAATTCGAATTTCATCAGTGGAAAATCGAGCGGAATTAGCATCACTCGCTGTTAATATCTAATTTTCGTATGCGGTCTGCGGACTATGCCACGCAGACATTCACAAGTTGATTAATGCAGGTGGAAACTATGGTGTATAGACTATTTTAGCATGTAAATGTTCTTATTTTATCACTAAATTAGAAATTACATTCAGCTATGTTTCAAAAGTAGTATTTCAACCCCAATTAACATATCAGGAAATATATTTCAAATCAAAAAATTAAAATAACATTTTCTTCAAGGTTTTAAACAAATTATATTATATTTTAGCTATTTATAATTGCAACTCTAAATATTGCATATAGCAGCAGCGAAAACCTGTTAGATATTGGTCAAATTAAAACCAAAAAGCTTTTTCATCAAGATGTTAATCCTACTTTCCTGTCTAAAATAACACCAAACCTTCTTACTTTTTTTTTTACCTTAAAATGGTACTAGTCCTGTTACGTAGCTGAAGTACCAGGCACTTCTGGAACAATTTCTGGCTCTCACTCCCTACTATATGTGTTGCTTGCAAATTTACCTATTGCCCAGTCAGGCATGTTCGTCTCCTCTTGAGTGCAACCAAAGATTTCTGAACCTAATAGCAGAAGACTCTAAGGCTGCACTTTGCAAAACCCCTCCAAGTCTCAGGCTTTTTGCCACATAGCATTTTTTAAATTTGCTAATTTTTCTTTACATAGAATCCAGTCAGCATTATCATTATAGTGCTTAGCTGTGTTGAAAACTAAATTCACTGTATGTCTCTGATTAACTTTTGGCACCAATTAGCTCTATCCGAGGCAATATAATTAACTCACAAAACAATACATTGAGGTTCTATCAGTTTATAGGAGAATTATCCGACTTTTTGACAACTACATTAATATGATCGTGGTTCAATAAAAAACGTAACTCGTGTAATCGAAACGGAATTGTCGGCAATTAACTTTGCACCAATTTCCCTCTCACTCACAATGTATGCACACTGTATTCGAGTTCCATTAAAAATTTCGGGCGTAGGCGGTGCCTAACAATGGTTTCAATTTGCGTCGCGGTCCGATGAAGCCATTATTTTTTTCTCTTATTTTAACAGAGTTTCTAATTACGACCAGACGCAATATAATTTAAAAATGTCGTGTATTCATTTTCACGTATTAATTAATTCAAACAGAGTCTGAAGTTTTTCTTGCCTTCTTTTGCAAACGAAACGCTTGCGACCATTAATTACATTGAAAATATTTAGAGGGAAGAGAGTTTTCGAAATCAAAGAGGTGGAAGACGTGAAGTACACGCAGCAAGGTGTCTTTTTTCTTTGAGAGAGAACGAGATAGGACGTTGTGATTAATGGATGTGAGTTGAAATTGCCAGTTTTTCCTGTGAATATGAATCAATAACAGCGGAAATAAAAAGTTTTCATATTAGGAATATAAATGATAAAAATAGATACAAGAATGACTCGATGGGAAAACGTAAAAGTGGCTTTCAATTTAAAAGATATAAAACTAGTCTTTAAATAAAACTTGAAGGATTTTATTATTGTTTTATTACTATGATTTGTTTTAGTTAGTTACTTTTTTTTGGTGTATGGTCCGTATCGAGCAGAAAAGAATACGGGCTGTTGATAATCAGTAAACGGATTACGTATGCATTGCCGCATTTCCCTAGAAAGGGGCCGTTTCGAAGCCCGTTCCGCATCAAAAACCCACCCTCCCTTAAAGGGATTATTGATATTCGACGAGAAGCACCAAAAGCGGATTACGCTGACTCCGGCTCTGCCTCCAGCTCGCTTTCCTTCGTCACGGAAAGGGGGAGGTATTGCGATGACTTCGGTTTTATTTATTCTTCCCCTTTTCCGATCGAAGTTTCTCTTTTATTTGGATATGATCTTGTGGACTTAATAATGCCGCATCGCGACCATTGAAATCGGGAACGAAATTTCATCATTTCTGTTTGCCGGAAATGGTTTTCTCTCCCTTTTTATTAATTTGAATATTATAAATTTCCTAAACAAATATTTATGTATAATAAATACTGTAAATTTTACTTAAGATGCAATATACAAAAATATATTTCCATAGAAATCAGGGTGTACCTACTTACTTTGTCTCACATAAAATGCAACATGTCAATATAATTTAACATTACAGGAAAATCTCGATATAACGGATCAATACGGAGTACGCAGTGTCCGTTATAGCTCAAGAAAAATAGTGCTGAATAAGAATTACAACTAGAATAACACTAGCACTAGAACTAACACTAGAACAAGAACTAGAAACATTCGGATTTAGCCACACGTCTCTCAAGACGGCTAAACCCGAATGATTCTAGTTCTTGTTCTAGTGCTAGTGTTATTCTAGTTGTAATTGTTATTCAGCGCTATTTTCCTTGAGCTATAACGGACGTATAGAAAGTATTGGGAATGTTTCTAGTTCTAGGTTTAGTGTTAGTTATATTTTTAGTTCAATAAAAATATACAAAAATCTAGCGCTGAGTCAACACTTAAACTAGAGCTGACACTGCCACTAGAACTATCACTAGATCTAGAACTAGAAACATTCGAGTGCAGCCGTACATCTCTTAAGACGGCTAAACCCGAATGCTACAACTACATTGTTTCGGATTTAGCCGTGCGTCTTCAGACAATTCGGGGAATACCTAGAATTTATCTATGAAAATATTTTGTCCGTTCTAACGATGTTCGTTATATCGATATTTTAGTTTTGCAATAGCACTATCACTAGAACTAACACAAGACCTAGAACTAGAATCATTCGGGTTTAGCCGTATCTCTCTTAAGACGTTGGTAAGTGGTAGGTAGCGCTAGTTAGCATAAAATATCACTATGTTGCATATTTTTATTGAACTAACACTAGAATTAACACTACACCTAGAACTAGAAACATTCGGGTTTACCCATCTTCAAAGACAGTTCATTTTTTTCGTTAATAAATTAAGCAAGAATTTTTTTAAGGTTACGCTCCGAAATCAATAGATATCTTACAAATATTACCAGGTGAATAAGATCTGAACGTTATCGTTTGGAACATTTTCACGATCTTTCCTTTGAGTTCTTCCTACGCTCTTTCCTTTTATGATTATCTCTTACGATCTCTTGAATGTCCGATAAACTTTACGAAACTTCTCCTACAATTTCTATTTCGTAATAGATTTTTATTTTGCATTCAACATTAATATTTATTTTTTTGTTTTCTTTGTATTGTTAGTTATAAAATGGTATTTTACCGTGTTATTATTGTTGTGGTGTCGCGGTTTTAAACATCATGTAAGCGATAATAATGTTTCACAAAGTTGCACGGTTAAAATTCGAGGGGAGTGTGTGTATGTAACCTTCTCCGTTTCGGTAACACTCGCTTGTCGACTTGGCAAAATTCATTAACGTTTCCTTCGCTCTTAGTAAATTGAACAACTAAGAATTACAATCTGCTCCGTGTTTCTCGTCGAAATTACAAAGAGTGACTTGAAATTCTTGGAGTACGTTACATCTTGAGATTGCTTTCTTGAAATGAATTTATTTTTAAACTATTATTTATAATTATTTAAGAACTATATAGTCGTTCTATAACTCTTTCGATTAAAATGACACTTTAGATTAAATTAATTCTATTCTGAACCAGAACGATGTTTTGTACACAAATCGGCTTAACTAGTTTAACTATGTTGTCAACAAAACTGGTTGGTCGGACCCTAACTAGCTTAATTTTCATGACGGAAAACATCCAGTCAATTCACTTCAATGTACATGTTATTTAAAAACATATTTAATTGTTATTATAAAAATAACAACCTTTTTATATTTTACAAAAAAGTCTAATAAACCTTTATATTTTTTTTTCAGGAATTCGTAATGGTTGGCCTCTGAAGTCAATGCGAGTGACCGTACCCAGAGCGGTCCGAGTGGGGCACTCAGTCACCCTCGAGTGCGAATACGACTTGGAAAAGGCACCCCTTTACTCGGTGAAATGGTACAGGGACTCGCAAGAGTTCTATCGGTATGTCCCGAAAGAGGAGCCGCCCACCAGAGTCTTTCCATTCCCGGGATTGCACGTTGACGTAAGTCGACCATTCTCAACCAACCTTCTTCCTACACTTCCATACGGAACAACATCTTTTACAAACAACATCCCTACAAAGACATCGTCCTTTTTCAAAGAGTTAACGTATTCTTTTATTGTCCGTTTGAGACTCATGAAATAAATTCTTGTAATGTTCTCTCCATATAAAGGTTTTATTGAAGTGAAAAATGCATATTGGGAAAATAAAAACACTTAAATACTTAAAAGTATTTTGAGTTATTAGTATACAGAATAAGTTGCACTTCTCATTCAATTGGGTTGGTTGTGGATAAGAAAGAGTTAACTTTAACTTGGATTTTACGTGAGAATCCTAATTGTATATAAGCTTGATGAGGCACAGTGTATGGCTGACATTGTTAAGTTTGAAGATATGCCCAAAGACTTTTTCGAGGTATAATCCAGATAATGGGAACTATTATTCACTATGGGAGATGTTTGGTGTGTGGTGGAGTGCAACAATTGGAAGCGAAATTGATGATTGGGGAGTTGATCTTTGTGTGGTTGAGATATGGGAATAATACTTGTTGTCAATACTTAGCGCTTAGAAGCTTGTTGGGATACTTCTATTTATCGTGGAATGAGGTTTGGTTTTGGTCCATGGAAGTTAGCAAAATGTTTCCCAAGAAAATCAGCTTTTACGAGCTCCATGAGATTAAAAGATTTTAAAATGCAAGAACAGGCATGTGTTTGAACTTACAGATTTCGTTCCAGAGGGAATTATTATTGGAATTGATGGATTTAGGTTTTTTCGGTCAGGTTTTATTTTTATGGACGTTTATTGCCTCGCAAACATATGGAACAGTATACAGCGTGTCCCGTATCTTCCGCATCAGAGCATTATACGGTTATAGAATACATTATTCTGAAGCGATCTTTCTAATAAATTTTTTTCGAAATGTTTATAATAACCGCACGGGAACTGTTTAACAACGACCAATAACGGACGACTTTGATTCACCGAAAAAGTTTATTTCTCTTTCCGTGACGAATCTATTGGTGAGTACACGTGGGAAACGAGTTATCATCGGCGTAGCGGACCGGCCGAAGGAGGCACCGACTACCTGAGGCTGATTTGCGATCTGCTGATTGGACGAACAACAGTTCGTTTAAACAGTTCCCGTGCGGTTATTATAAACATTTCGAAAAAATTTTATTAGAAAGATCGCTTCAGAATAATGTATCGTACAATCGTATAATGCTCTGATGCGGAAGATACGGGACACGCTGTATAGACCAATTGAAACCTACGATTGTGAGAAGTTACGAAAAGTCCTAGGAGTCACAGTTTATATGCTCTTTGGAAGAGATGCAGAGGAAGAGCAAAGATAGCCTGGGATAATGTGATAGCCAATATATTAAGAGAAATGGATACAATTAAGAGTGATGCGAAAGAATTGGCCATAGATGTGAAATTGATTATGACAAATTTTATCAAAACGCCCATAAAACTGCTAAATTAAACATGCCCTTCTTCCCAATGGATTTCTTTCCGTAGAAGTTCAGCAATAAGGCAACAAAGACAAATGCAAATTTAGATCTGATCCATACCATATTGATATCCTCTGGTATTTCAGCACAAGAATAATTCCAAAAACTCCGTAGAAGAAGTTATCACCAGTGAATAAAATTTGAGATTGTTAACAGTTGTCCAAAAAAGATTTCGATATAGAATATAAATAGAAAACTGTTACTAAATCTCTTCGATTTATTTTTATTATTCGTTTATTAAACTTTTATAAAGAAATCAAAAAGTTGTTTAAAGTAATTGAAAAGTTACAATGACTTTTAACGTTGATTGGCTGAATTCCATTAGGCTACCAATCTCGAAAATTAAACCGAATTAAAGTCTTTAATACGATGCCATCAGCAGAATTCATCCCCGGCACGTTCAGTTCAATTCGACAAATAACGAAAATTCGACTTTTAACTCGATGCGGCGGCTCCCATCGACTGCTAACTACAAGTGTTTGGAGCTTCTGAACGCGCTCGCTTCCTCTGAATGAATAATTCGCTCGGTTAAATGATTCATTTGCCGGAGAGTGGTTTTGTGAGGAACTTTGTCCATTCAACGACGACGTTTCACCTCGAATTTTTTTTTCACCTCTAAGCTCGAGCGCAATTCGTTACTTCGGTAACGACCAAAGTGCATATAATGAGGGCCTCCTTTCAACGCCTCCCACCAGGTTCCTTCTTGTGCTAAAGGAAGCCATCAAAAGGACTTCGGCCTTTTTTTTTTGGTTCACGTCCCACCTTTTACTAGTAATTGAATGTCTTCTTTATTAAAATAGTCACGACGTTAAATGCCATCTTTATTTCACCAAAGATTTTTTATTTAACTCTTAATTTAGACTTTCTAAGGCTATTTTTTTCGAAAATTTTATGTTTGATTTACACAAAAAGTTCTTTTATCGTTCCGTCAATTTGCCTCGAAACGTCGTCGCCGGCAAGCTTATATAACGAAGGCGACGTCGTCGACGTCGTTGGAACCTCCTTTCAAAACTGCATGTTCCGAGTTGGTTCAAAGGAGCCGCGACGCCCTTTTGGTTTCATTGCAGCTTTTACACGTAATTGAATGTGTCCTTTGTTGCCCGGGGTCGTATGAAATATTATCTTTTTACCCAACCCTACCAAAGAACGAGGGCGTAGGGAGTTGAGTATATGCAGATGATTGTTGTAAGGAATCGTGGTTAACGAGAAGACTCGAAACGCTATGAGGAATTGGAATACAATCACAAAATTAAATTGTTGAAGCAGAAACGACGCGAAGCGAACCAAATTTTCGTATCTAGAGCAAGGTGGTGGTGTTTAGGCACCGCTAAGGGACGATTCGTTAAGATTAAGGGTGGTGGGTTGGGAAAATGTTTCAGGAAATTGGCTCATCTTTGGATTTCCGAGAAAATTACAAGTTACGTAAAGAAAATAACACCGAAATAAGTTATTATTGAGAGGAATAAAAAAATCGTCTTTAGATAATAAAGCATTTAGAAGTAATCTTCTCCGGAAACCATCCATAAACTTGATTATTATCTTCATTGTTTGGCAATCTGGAAACCAGCCAAAACTAGGACTATATATAAACCCAACACTAGTAGAGACAATTTAAATCTGTTTTACTACTGTTGATGTTACAAAGACAATTTATATTATCAACGAGAAATTATCATAAAATAAACTAAAACAAATATAAAAGATAGTACTTGTTAGAATAAGATTTGTAAACTAATTTGAATTATACCGGATTCAAATTGTATTCTGTCGATCAAAATTGGAGTTAATTAATTTCACATACCTGTCAAGTACGAGTAAATAAATTGACATTCGAAACGGTCGTAACGGCAAAAATATCGCAACGCTAATCCTATTCCGATAATCAGCCAATTTCGATGAAGCCTATTTTGAAAAGGGACTGCCAGCGCTGTGTTGGCCGCGGCAATTACGTAATGTTTACAATGAATACCTGTGGCCTAATAGCTCCCATGTCGAATCGACCGCCTGAACATTGTTATTATTGTAAATTATGCAAACGGGCTACCTACAGTACTAGAGCAGCATCCGGTTCTCTCTTCAAACTTGCATGCGTTTTTGCGCGTTAACAAACCCTAATATGACTATTCAGAGAATTTCACCGCGATATCATGTTGTTTTAGTTCCGTTTCAAATTTAAATTTTCACACAATAACAATAATTTTTAGTATTAGTGAGTAGAATTTGAAATTAACCACTAAAACATTCCTGAATATGTTCCAGTTTAATTAAAGATAAATTAGATTATTTCATTATAAAAAAATTTGGTATTAACTATTAAAATATACAATTTGATACAAATGACTTGACGTGATCTATGTCACACAATTTCAATGTTGATAATAATGTTTCGATTTATACGGGGATGTGAACTGGAGTTCTGTTAGGTGCATATCCGTTGTGTTCTGATGGTTCTATTGTGACAGTAGTTAGTGGCGGTCCGTACCAAATCGATCGTGAAAAGCTTTCTCCTGCAGTCGGTCCTGCGTAAAGATCGTGCACGGACCGACAAGTTTATTGCGCCGGACAATGGAACGGTTGTAACGCGTATATTATTTCCTGTCTGAACGAAAAGCCTCCCCGCTCAGATAGATTTATTTAATTTTGGGCGCTTCGTACTATTCGCGTTATTGCGATTGCGAGGCGATGCTGCGCATATTTGTTAATTTATGTAGCCGGTTGAAATCGGAATCCTGAAACGAACTTTGTGCAAAACAATTTCAAACAAAATAAAAAATATAAGCTGTGTACAAATTGATGTTTTTAATGAAAATAAATTGTTGTATGTTTCATACAAAAAAAACATTCGGAATTGTGTGGATCCAAAATTACACACCCCACAAAATGAATTTTGAATGAAATCCATTAAATATGTTTTTGGTGGAGGAGCCGGTGCTACAAATAAATGGAATCTTTTTGTAGTTTGATTCTTTATTTGTTGTTATATATGTTATTTGTTTTTGTACCGAAGGTACTTTATCAAATTCAATGTTAATGTTGTGAACTATGCATTCATACGTAATGCTTCTCTGCTCATCAGAAGAACAATATGAGGATATTACTGCCAATTCAGATGACAGTAGTCAAGATTTTTTTGATCAACCTCAAAAATTCGTTTGACTTACAATCAGAAAGCAGCGATGCATATGAAAAAATAAACTTGATAAATGGAATAAGAAGCCAAAATCATCTAAAACACAGCAAACCATAGCGAAATGCGATCAGGATCTACAACATATGCTAAGCAAAACGCAATTTGCAAGAGTTTTCGCCTATTTTTAGTCATTAAGTGGACTAATGCAAAAGATTGCATGAATAATGAAGCCTTATTATAGAGGAAGCTGGACGATGCTGGTGATTTCCTATGAATTGTATAACAAAGAAATTACAAATTTATGGCAAGTAGACGATTTTATGTTTTGATAATCACGGAGAACATAATCAAGATTTAGA